GTCAGCCATAAAAAACATAATGTAGAATGTGAACAAAACCAATTTAGAAGCCTGCTTTTTTATCAAAATAATTACTGAAGTTACTAGCCGACGCTTGCAAAGTTTCAGAAAACTAATCCAGATTTCGAACGTTTATTTCCGACAGCACGGCAGTGGGAAAAAGAAGTGGGGAAATCTAGTCAAACACATGAAAGTGCCTTCGTCATTCAGCGGATAAAGGAGCCTTACAAATCATAGAGAAGATATAGTTTATTGATGGCAACCCAATATGAACCACATGGTGAAGCTGCTGCGGAGTCAACTTGCTATATTGGCTCATAGCTTTTAGAGAAAACTTGGATGGGGATTATGAAGACCCAATGATTTCCCTGCATCCAGTCTATCTAGGCAGTTGAGCACGATGTATTGGTCGACGTCAACGGAATCTATTCTGCCTTCCTCTGAAGCAGCCAGACTTGATCTTATGGAGAGTGACGACTCCTGTATAAAGATTTGGGAGCAGTAGTCTGCCATTTCTTCTGCTTTTTCTTGATCTTCTTCGATTGTTTCATTGTCAATAGTCGGGTTTGAGACACCATCGGATATCTTACTCCGGAAGTTTTATGTACAAGAAAATTTTCATGGGTTGTGCCATTGCAATTTGAGCCAGATACGCTTCAAACGTCATCCTTGATTGGTGGATATTTGCAATAGCTTTGTTCCCAGTGGTGTTGTAAAATTTTCCGGTCCCAAGAGCCTTCAGTGTGGCGAACAGGTTCCAACATGTATGTTAACGTCTGAGTAATTTAAGAATCTCTTGGCTTGTTTAAGAAGAGTAATGTTCCTGACCCTGTGAGACAGATCAAGGGTTGTCTTGAAGTTGTTTAAACTGTTTCCATGCGGCCTCTACTTGGAACTCTGGGTTTATGTACAAGTTCACTGACACGATTGCATTTATATCAGCCTTCCAAATGTTTGGTTGAGCTGGGGCTTTGGCCGATGTTGCTGCTGTGAACCCGAAAAATAGCACAGCGTGGTCACTTCTTCCCAAAAAAGGAGATGCTGTATGAGATTCACATTCGCACCATGGGAGAACACTAGGTCCATAGTTGAAGAGGAGTGCTGTGAGTGGACTTAATGACACGTTGGACTGGGATAATCTAATTGCTAGATTCTAGCAGTCTGGAGATGGCATCGTAAGGCTTGTACAGTCAGCTGTTGGGGTGTTGAAGTCGCCGACTATAAGACTTCGGTATTTTGATGTCCAAGAGACTAGCTTCTCTGTCTGAAAGTCTTCTGCACTGCAGTCAGGACTGCGGTATATAGCAATGAGGTCAGTATCTTGGCCTATGCATTCACGTCTGCAGCGTAGAGGTTCGCACGATTCATTTTCGTAAGCGAGTGCTTCGATGTTACGCAGGGCTGAGCATTTCCTGAGGTAGATGACAACGCCAACTCCTTTACGGCTTAGTCGGTCTACCTTATGCACCTCGAAGTTTGGCAGGTTAACTTCGTTATCAGTGACATCGGGTGTGAGCCGTGTCTCTGTGATGATAATTACATCCGAAATTCCGTTATCTGTCATATTACCAAGCTCAGTCCGTTTGTTCAGCAGTCTGTGGCACTTGAGTAGCCAACTGTCAACTCAGTTTAGTGCTTCTGTGGCCTACCCTCAGAGGTTTCGGGATCATCAAACTTCAAACTATGATATCCTGAAAACCCTTAGTCTTACGGTTTTTGCCGTTTCGTCATCGTTCGTTTAGTTCTAGAGCCGTAGACTGTACTTTGACGCGATCCGCTAGGCGTAAACCGGCACGGACGTAAATGCTTAATTCTTTAAGAGTTTGAGAGTTGCTTAGAATGGTAACCCTATCTTCTCCGGAGTTTAGTATGACTTTGAGAAGGCATACTGGCTGATCTATTATCGAGTCAGTCTTTTGGCCAATTCTATGTAAACTGCGTATGGTTATGCCTGACACCGTTGTTAGCAGTAGCTTATCCAAGAGGAGCTTGACAAAGTTAAGCTCATGCTAGAATCTGACCTTGGGATCGGAAGCTTGTGGTTTTTCTAATTGGTGGAGAATGAGCCACCTGTCAGAGACATCAGGTTCGCTTGCCGTGGCTTTCTTGCTCTGCGGCGTAAGTTTCTTTCCATCCTTCATGGTGAGTGTCGCCATTATGTTGTCCTTATCTCGCTGTTTGCAGGACAGTACATTACGCCATTCGCCGTCGTCCTCTTCACTGACCGTAGTCGATTGTATCTGCTGGCCATCGACCGGTGTGGGTGAGACTTGACCTACAAGTCCCCATACGACTAGCTGCGGGTTTTCGACTCCCGGTACGCCTCTTCTTCGTGCCAGTCTTTCTGTTACTGCCAGTGGAGGGCTTATCCGGTACCACAGGGGCAGCATGTGTATCTGGACGATGGTGGATACTTTTTTGTGTAGAAGAGCCCTCACTCCCTGACAGAGACGCTCCATGAAAGCGTGTTGTCTTGTCAATGACGCTGGTCACGTCATCGGTGTCTGAGTAGTAGTCACTCTTCTCCTGAAGTGGAGGACGTTTGCAGTCCGGGAACTTCAGAGCCCCACTGAGAGTGGCAGTGGCTTCCGTCATACGAAACTTAGTCGTACTGCAGCAGTCATTGCACGGACAGTTTGCCAGAGATTCTCAGCAGCGGTTCTATTTTACAAGAGTTAAATTTGTACACATGCTGTGCAAACATCTGCAGCCTTCACAATGCGTTGCTTCTTTAACAGGGAGTTGGCACATAACTCTTCCGCAGCGGTTTCTTCTGAAATGACATTATATATAACCTTTATATGAATCAGTTTTAAAAGAAACCAAGGAGTGTACAGAAATAGATTTATATAACTATGAAGTTATAAAAACACAACTTCCGATAATTATATGGATAAAAAACTGAAAAGTAAACTAACTTCAATCAGGATAAAATGATTCAAAGTTAATCTATAGACTTTTTGGAACGTATAACACAACAAAGGCCGAATTTAAACAACCGCGTGTAATATTCACTCCTTTTTCAATGTTCGTGTGGTAGGTTTGCTGATTCAACAATACTTTTTTGTACGTTTAACTGGACATTTAATGCTCTGCTGAGTTAATGGCAGTTAATATTGCCAAAAATCTTATTATCGGTGAACTAACTAACGTTATAGAAAACAATTTTATCACTATATGAACAAGCTACTATACGAAAAGCGATATAGGCAGATTTTGATTGGCTGTTGGCTAGCTGGCTTCTTATTGGTCTAAAATATAAGTAAAAATGGCAGTCTCTTTATTTTGACACGGAAAGTTACAGTCAGTTTAAAGTCAGTGTTAACTTACCATAATATAACGGCGTGTTAATTTTTTTGGTGTGAGTGTAGTGTGATAGTCACACGCTATTTGGATGCATTTGTAGTATTTAAAGTACATTGAGATATATGGGAATGTCTAGTAAGTGAATATAAGTTAACAATAATTTTGATGCATTTATTTTAAGTCCAAAATAGGATGTATGCATTTTTTGTTACTATGGGAATAGAATTCAATAAAAATTGCTAAACGTATAATGTGTCTAATTTTGGACATGTAGATATATGTATGTATTAAGTGATCTACTTTTTTAAGTTTTCAGTTTAGTGACCTGTGGGAATTGCACATACTAGGTCAACATAAATAAAGTAAATTTCCTATGTCACAAAAGTGGTATATAAGCAATGAAATGCATACAACTGTTCATTTACTTGAAATCATTGTGTTGTGCACGTTAGGAATTGTTAGAACCATTAAATGATGTTGCAAAGTACTCCTACTGCGTCTACTTCACGGAATGTGTCATCTATATTGTGTGATGTAACAGCTACATTCCAAAGGATAATGCTTTGCTGTGTATTTTATACATGGATGCAATTTAAGGAAGCTTTAGATGCATTTATGAAGGTACTAACTAAGTTGTTCATTATTTCTTTGAAAGGAATCCAACACATGGTATCGGGTTGATTCCAGTAAAAAGGATCCATCCGGTCCTATGGAATACGAGCATGTGACGTTTAAATGCACTTTTGGAAGTAAACGTGCTTCCCGAGGTGCTGGCTTTAGGAACAGAGGGTAAGTTTACTGTCTATGTAAATTTTAACAATTTCAAGGTTCAAAAGTACTTCATGTCAATCAGTAATTACAGTACGGCGCAAATCCAACATATACAGGATAACAAAGTACCAAACTGTGCATAACCATCCATGCACAGCAAGTTTCATGTCCATTGATGTATCTAGACGTCGGTTATCACCACAAGAAATGGCAGTTATACAACCGTTCATTGAAAGGAATACTGATGTCCATGAAGTAATGGATTTAGCGCATGATAAATTTGGCAAAGCCCTGCTGTATGATGATATTAAAAACATGCGGGCTAGGATGTATAAACGTAAGTCGTATGAAAATAAATGGTGCAGTAGAATAGAAATCGGCAGTTTGGAAGACCTGCTTCATCGACTAAGACAGACAGGTGCAGTTAGTGTTCTGCATGACAACGCAGGCTTTGTATCTAAAATTATTTTCGCTCGCAATGATATGATAAACTTGTATCATAAGTTTCCAGAAGTAGTTGGAATTGATTGTACCTATAAAACGAATAAGATGGGGTAAGTTGCAGAACAAGAAGGGGTAAATCCTTCTCCTAATTTATTACAGATGGCCTTTATATCAGTTTGTTGTGACTGATGGATTCGGAAGAGGAAGGACTGTTTTGTTTGCTCTGACTAGGAGAGAAAAGTTTGCAGATATCAAGGAGATATTGCAGACATTTAAGAGATTTATGACTGATACATCAAAAACACTAACATTCACTGTCGACTGTGCAACTGCACAGATAAACGCTTTAAAGGAGGAATTCCCTAGGTGCAGTATTGTTTTATGTCTTTTCCATGTATGCCAGGCATTCCGAAGGAAGGTAAGCTGCATTCCCATTAACACCCTTTGCTGCCAAGAAAGTTTTCTTAGACTTGCAAAGGCGATCCTTCTTCTTTCATTCAATATCTTCCACTTCAGTTAATTACGCAGAAGGTGGTCACATCTTCTTCGTAAACAGGGATGAGGCGAAATGCACGTGTTGGACATACTGTGCATACAATTTGCCATGTGCTCATGTCGTTGAGGCTTTCTTAAATTCATATCTAACCTGTGGTAAGTTCTATTTCCTTAATTGTTACTCTTAGATATTCTGAGAAATAGTGACAGGTGGACACGTCAGTATAACACCACGGAGGACATTCCACGAGCCATCCGCCTAACACCGGAACCGAACAACGCGTTCAGAAATGCTTATGAACGTTTAAGACGTCGTCTCAACATTCTGAACCAAAGAAATCCGGATGCTGCACTGCGGGAAGTAGCAGAGTTCACAAGAAGGTTGGACACTTTGCTAGCAAATGAACCGCAAACAACTTTGAGATTACGACGTGCCCCTGTTAATCGATCATTTTTGTGAAAATATTTGCATTACCTTATTGTTTCCATTTGTATTCACAATATAAACATCTATGTCTAAACTGTGTTACACTTCCTTTCCCTTCAAATGCCTGAGAGCGACAGTTTAAAGCATACTTTGGTTGATTGTTTCCTGATGAGAGCGCTTGGCAAGTCAGTTACAAATTACACCCATCTGTGCCTTATGTAATGCGTTTTATCAGCCGAAGATTTCTAGTTCATAGCATATCGCGAGTAACGGCGACTAATACGATTTATTGCCTATACCGTAATCACCCCAGGCTTACAACAATTCTAAACTTATTCTAACCTATTCTTCGATAATGTTTATTAAGAAGAACAAGGTGATGAATTACAGCCGGTCATGCGGATAAAACAATCCCACAGTTCTGGTTCAATCACATTACCAAACAATGGAAAACCAGTTAGGGAGTTCATTTATTAAATAGTGTTACTATACTATCATAGTGCACGTGAATTAGCTCAATGATTGCAGGTTTACCATAATCCTTAACTACCAACATAATAAGTGGGAACTTCTGCCTAAAAACAACCTTACTAGTAGCATACAGTGACAGAAAACTGACCTACATACTCCAAAACAAGCAAAACGTTCAAAAAAACCTTTAAAATTCAATGGAAAACGAATTCACGAAAACATATAACCAGTAGACGCAGGAACCCATCATGACCTTGAAACTGACTATAGCGTCTTTCCTACTATACCCATTCCCAGTAACGCAAACCCCAAATGTGACGCTCATTTTGGTTAAATTTCTTCAATGGCGACGCATTGTATTTTAGAACAAGACATATAAGCGAACAATATTGTTTTCAGTTAGATCTTCTTCAGGCTTTACTCTAATTTACATATTTTTATTTTTTTATTTTATTTTGATTTACAGCTTGATTCCACACCGTATATTCAGTACAAGTATGGAATTTTCAGCATGGATATCGGTAGCCCAACTTCAGGCCGACCATAGATATCGGGTGTGCACCGACAGGGGATCGAACCCCGAACCATGTGCATGGTCAGCGAGAGTTCTAACCACTGTGCCGCCGACGCACACACATAGATTTATATATAAAATTTTAACCAATGACGGTGATTTTGGGAATCAAATAATAATCTTAATAATAATAATGTGGTAAATGTTTTGAACGAAATTTATAATGATGATTATAATGACAACAAAATATTGATAATAAGGTTTATGAAGGTGATAAGAATTACAAAGGTAGTATATGTATGTATGTGTATATGTAGACAATTCAATAAATAAATTAGGTCAAATCTTAAAAGGTGAAGTGGAACGATAATCAGAGTTAAAATAAATATTATAAAAGTACGAAGGAGATGGAAAATAAGAAAGGGTGGGAGGGTTTTGAATAGAATTCACGTAGACCAAGGGAGAGACAAAGGTAGAACAAACTTCTTCTGTATGCAAAGACTAGGATTGTTCTCTCGAATTCCCATAGCTTCGGCTAGGTGTGAAAGAGCGTTCCCTGTTGAAACAATTGCATTGTCTATTGAATATTAATTCCTTCCTCTTGGTATGTAGGGAGATAATGTCACTTACTATTAAGCGATTATTTCCCGTACTCCGCTTCTGACACAGAGTTACAGGCTTGGAAAATGGAACTTCTGTGCATCACTGCAACCGTTAAGAAACATCTGTTCAGATTAGTAACACTAGTGCCACCATCACACTTTAACACCGCTTACTTAATTTTTGTGTTGCCTCCAATGTAAACAGCTACCTCAACTCCTCAGATACCACAGATTCTAAGTTGACACGTATTTCAGAGGTTCGATATAACTAGTAGGCACGTTCCGGCTTTTGCCGTTGTATGCAGTCAGCTAATCACTTTGCTGGAACCACTTCAGGCTCGTTTATCCTTTCGCTTCGACTAGAAGTAACGCTCGTGTCTGTTGTGCCGAAATCTTTCCTGCTGGACTTGATCTTTGACAACACTACCTTCTGATTCTTTAGCTTGGCCCAACTAACCTGGTTACCAGATTTCTTTTAACACCACCGTAGCTAGTGAGGTAAGAATATGGCACCTAATGCCTCCCAAAGGTGTGCTGATTAATGATTACGTTAACAGATAACAGTGAGACACAATCTTACCACAACGAACCAACTTTACCATTGTCCTGTGAAAACCCTATCGTTTGTAGTAGTATTCAATCACCATAGGCAAACAAGTTGAACACTCAACACGAGATGGCTGAGGTTAAATTGAATCGACGAATTTCTTCAGTTTACTACACTGTAACGTCAGGTTGAAGCCATTTAGATAATTCTTTAAATTAAGGAGGCTTCTCCTTCGGGACAAATGGGTTCGCCCTGAGAACATAGGTCTTGCTAACATGGAGTTACGAGAAGTGCAAACCAGAAAACCAGGTACCTCCATCAAACCACCAGTGCAGCTGCAGCTTCTCTTTCAATTCTGTCCTTTAATGGCCATTTAAAACCGATTCTTATCTTTCTTTTTAATTCATCAATAATTATCATCTGCGCATTAATAAAAACGAGACAAGCAGTTTAATGAAGACTGTCTTTTTGGCTAATACATATTCCTTGCTTGTACAATAGAGTAAAAGAGGGATGAATCATAATAAGAATAGTTGCTGGTAGTAATCAGTACATGTGAGAAGTTGAATAAAGGTGGTGGTAATGAGGTTTCGCAAAGAGACAGATGGATTTCAGGCTGCCTAAGTGTTTGAGAGTACATATGAGTCATAAAGGACCAGAGAAACACAATGGAGTGAGTAAAGCAGTTAGGTTGTTCACTAAAAGATACTCTTCACCAAACTTCTTGTTTTGTTTTTATCTTCCTGCCTTTGATCTTAAATGAGAGGTAAGGAATAGTGTCTTCTCTCTCTTGTTATTCAGTAATAGGTTAAATGGCTTGCAGAAACTTTCACTAATATCGGTATCAAGTTTTCTGATTTTTTATTGTGGTACTCATACCAATATTACCCATTATATTAGGAAGAATTTTTAGGAAACGTAGACTTGTATACGACTTGAACCAAATGCATAGAATATTCCATATGCTAGATATTTGTGTTTTAAATGGAGTCAGAATGTATTAGCTACCGCCGAGACCTCAGCATCCGGTATTGTTTTAGTTCACTCGTTTAAGTGGCTTCTTGTCTGCTGTGGTGGGTGTGATGTTGAATCTCTCCAATTATTTTTAAATAATTCATTATCCTATCCTGGTTTTCTTCCTATTATCAGAACCACTAATATTTTCTTTCTGTTCTCATCCTTTTTTCTTTCGCGTGTGTGCTTCAACCGGCCTACATATCCTAAATTTAACCCTCTTGCCCTTCCTTCCATTTAATTTGTCTATTCATACTCCTGATTTCATTCCAACTTGCTTACTACTTGTTTCGCTGGAGTATCTGACAACCTAACTGGACATTTGATAGGCGAAATGAAACTTATGAGTCCAAGAGACATCTGTAAAGTTTGTAAAAACGTGGTTAACATTCCGTTCAAAATTCGATGAAGGGAAAAGCAGTTTGATATCCCTTCGAATTCACACTGGTGGCGTGACAAAACTGGGTAACTGTTTCACTGTGTGATACATCTAATAGACAAACTAATATGGAATTACTTACTACCAAAATGCCCAAGTTTTACACATATATTAAAGGTAACATTTTCCGTCGAAAATGTCAAGAAGCTGAGTAAGTGTGTAATTACTTTTTCAAGAGAATAGGTAAAACAGTGACAACTCACTTTCTGTCTGCGGCTCACATGGTTGAATTTGCTCATTTTCCCAGAATTTACCCATCTGCTCCCCGACTAGGTCCCCTTCAAAACATACTAATTTAATTTATTCCTCTGAGGCAGTCCAGAGGTTAGAACGAACTGGAACCGGCAAAGTTAAGCTATTATGATTAAAACTACCGCACCGTGAGTGACCAACCAGAATCCAGATGCAGTAATGTCACATGATCGTTGAAAAATGCACTAAAAACGTTGCGAACATGATATAAAATACTATATAGTCTCCGCTTATGTTTTGTGAGAATTTCTCCCAGTCACTACAGATATGATCTATGGGGAAATCATACCATGCGCTATAGATGCATTCATCCAAGTGTTTGTAGGTCATGGTACTTTGAGGTCTTTTGATTTTTCTGATACTTCTCTTTGACCAACTCCTAACTCTAACCATAATCCTAACTCCTAATATCAGTAAAAAGTTTGAGCGTCGTGGATTAGATCAAATAAAGTATAATTATATTTCAATATTTCACACACAATGTGTAAACTATTGAAATATAACCTAACTCCTAACCCTAAATTTAATCCTAGTCCTAACCTTGACCTTAAACCCTAATCTAAAAGACCCTAACCCTGCCTAACAGCATATATTAAAAGAAGAAATACTTAAAGAATAAAAGGAATACTGCATCTGTCTTCTCCGATTCCAGAAAGGCAGGCATAATTTTATTTGGAATGACCTGTATCTGGTTGGTTCCTGAAGACCAAATCTTGAAAGACCTCGGCCTTAGTTGTGGTACTTTAACTTCACCCTGGATCCCATTGGAAGCCTAGAGACGCATTGAAATAGCAAGACTGAAATGCCAAAAAGTCATAGGATTTATTCAAGACAAGATCATCTGGGAACATTGTATATTGAAACGAGCTTGGTTCAAATGGCGGCGATACGACCAGTGGTTTTTATCCGCCCAATATGTCTTCCGAAGACAAAACATTATTTGTAGGCGTCCTTTTTGGGAGTTGAGTTTTAGTCCTTTATGGATGAGACAGGTGGAGTATCCGAAAGTGTTTCCGGGGGATCCACCTGTACGTTGTTTCCTACCCCCGTTCTGGATGAAAATGATGTATCCTGGCCCAAAAAATCCTCCTGACCACGTTGTTTTCAAAGTTCATCCACAGTAAGCAGCAAATAGTTCATAATCCCAGGATGACTGGGAATGATGTTCGACAGTATTTGGAGAAAATATACAAAGTTCCTGTTGCAGATGTACGAGTGAAGATGGTTTATCACGACTGTAACTAACAATTCTTATTATATTATCCTCTTATTTCAGTGGAGCCAATCGATACGCATCCAAAGGAGCGTATGCAACGTTCAATAGATTCCACAGTTTTCCCTCCTAAGCCTGAGCGTTACGAAAAGGTTGCGTACGTACGACTAGTAAGTTCTTTGAAGATAACTCAAGCTTTTTATCTACCGACGACATGATACAGAAGATAATTTGTATAAAATCAGTTTAACTTACCTTCATTATGGTGTTTGGCAGTTAATTGTGAAGAGTACGAAATTTATCCACTGCTGTTATATATGTAGTTTCTTAGTCTTTAATTGTGGTAATTTAGATTAGTAAAAAATAATCGTGGTGTACCTGAGCAAAGTTCACCACTAGTCTATTCCCAGTTGCTGTGCAGTTATTAAAATATTATGAAGTCAATGCATACCTTTGGCTTATAACTTTCAAAGTTTCCACTTGAATTCTAAATACAGTAAGTGTGTTGAAGACTTAGTGTAAACCGTACTGCAGAGATATGAGTAAAATTTTTTAATAGCGTTCTTCACTTTTACTTTGAGTTATCTACCGTGTTAAGTGTAACTTTTTGATTAATCTACAGTATTCAGTTGGCTTCCCACCTTTAGATGTGTACACATTATTCAGTTTAGGAACTTCCGGTCGAAAGGAACATTTCGTACAATTTTTCTCTTGTATCCTAAATGCAATGAATAATGGATTCTGTCATTATCGTGATGACAGCTTGAGGTATGATTTCACAGACTGCATCTAAAGATGTAATTTTATTTTAAAGCTGATTGACTTGTTCGAAAAGATACAACAGTTCATGGCTAGTCTTATTTAAGGTTATCATACCTATTTATTAAAAAAGTTTACAAGTGTATGTAAAATCACCGCATTATTTGTCTGCTACATTAGAATTAAATTTAGACTAAACAAGATAGGTGAAAAAGAGCTTGTAAGAAACAGAGTGAGTTGCATCCATCGTATTTTCACAGTAGCCAAGGAATCTTCAGTCATTGTATTTCCTAACATCGAAGCTGCGTTTAATTTCTCTGGCTAGAATTATTTCCCGATATTCTCTGTCGTGAAGGTGTCCTTATGGAGATTTCATTATATTGCTTGATTCCTACAGAAAAAAATACCCAACTAACAATTTTCACTATCAAGGGAGTGTTTAATTGTATAAGGTTGCCTGATTTCCCTCAGCCTCTCAAACGCACCCGGTGACATTACAATGATACCTCTGAAAAAGCTGCATATTGCTAGTGTCAACACTACTTAAAAATCGCCAATTACGATATCTATTAATTTCATGATGCCGTAAGGATTACTGTTTTATTTCAATTTTCGTTTCGCAGAATGAGAAAAAAGAGAAAAGCAAAAGGAAGGAAGAAAACGTTGTACCTATAAGTTATATGAGTTGGAAAGACGAGATCCAGTTGTTCTACTGACTATTTAATAAGTTATAGGTATCACGCCCAATGCTTTCTTTATCGCACAGAACACGAGCTAAATAGGGTATGGTTGAGTTTTTGTACTTGCTAGTGCCAGCATATAGTTTTCTATATAGGCTTCTGGTTGTGCCTGATGAGATACAAGGGGAGAGTTGTGAATGAAGAGGGTGGTGTGAGTTAGATAGAATGGATTTAGCCCATTTTTCACATGAGTCCAAGTGCCTGTCAACCAGAATATTAAGAAGCTGGTTAAGTGGCACATTGCTTACCCTGCTGACAACCTTTAACACTCTACGTAATATGATATAGTCCTTCTTCAGTAGCCCTGGAGGAACTGAGGGGAAACAGTAGAGAATAATGGCAGGATGCAAGAGTTAACGAATCGTAAGAGTAAGGGTTGGGTTATTCCAGAATGTCTTAACTTCTTGATGTAGAAGGCAAGACGGAATATTCTCTTAGAAGTCATCAAGATATGAGACGACCAGGAAAGATCAGCAGATAGAATGACCCCAAGATATTTAATTTCCGACTTGGTCTCTATTTCAGTGCCATCTATGTTGCACACCTCGTGAGTGCTAACCAGTTTGTTTAGGTCAGATTTATGCCTAAAGGTGAAATTGACTGTTTGACATTTAGAGGGATTTAAAGTAAGACCGTTTTCCTTGGACCACTGGCTGATTTCTGATAAAAAGCCATTTAGTTTGGAGCAGTCACTTTGACACTTGACAGGCAAAGATACAATCAGATCGTCAGCATACTTAACAAAATTAATATCATTTGAAGATGGTAAGTCATGTAGAAAAAAAGAAAAGAGAAGTGGGGAGAGTACAGCACCTTGGGGGACACCAGCTTCAGTGAGCACAGCAGAGGAGGATTTACCTTTGTATACAATGTACTGCATTCTGTTTGAGAAATAGAAATGCAACCAGTTTGTGACCCAGGTCTCAGTTTGTGTCATCGAGAGCTTATTTAGCAAGAGGCATCTAGGTACAGAGTCAAAAGCAGAAGTGATGTCGAGAAACGTGCAACGAACGTATTTGGCACCTTTATCTAATGATGAGACGATACTGTTGTGCAAGACGGCTGCAGCATCTAAAGTGCTCCTACCTTGTCTATATGCAAATTGCTTGGGGTCCTCAAAATTTTTAAGGGAGGCTTCAAGTTTAAGAAGTACTAGTTTTTCCATCAGCTTTAGAAACGGGGAAGTGATGGCAATGGGTCTGAACTTTACGTTCTTGCCGTTTCCAGTTTTAGGGACAGGGACAATTTTGATGTCTTTCCATGCGTCAAGTACGATATTTTTGGATAAAGAAGCATTTAGGATGTTGGCTAGTGGAGAACACAACGCATCTCCACATTATTTTAGAACATATGCAGGTATACCATCAGGGCCAAGGCTACGTGAGGGCTTGAGCATTTTAAGACAATTTAGAACATCGAGAGTATTAAAGTCATGAAAGTTTTCAGCTACATGATAGGTAACATTAGAAGTAGTTAAAGTAGAAGGACAGCGTATAAAAGACTGATTAAGAGCATTAACATCATAAGAGGGAAAAGCATTACAACGCTTACTATTGCCAGTAATTTCGTTGAAAAGTTTTCACATGCTGATAGGAGATTTGCATGATAAGTGCATCATTGTAGATAGCATTAAGATTTTTGATTTCAGATTTGATTAGAGCATAAATCTTTTTGAGTCCTAACTTATCTTTGGATTTGTATAATGTTTCTTTTTGCCTGCGAAGTTGTTTGAGATAAGGAGATGAGAAGCGGTCGAGGCGTTTGAATAGTGTTTGTTTGGGACAGCATATATCAAGGCAGAACTTAAGATATTCCATGTTAGTTTGTTTATTTGATATGTGATTTATCAAATAAACAAACTAATATGGAATTACTTACTACCACAGTGCCCAAGTTTTACACATATATTAATAGAACTTAGGATAATCCGTTATATTGACAATTGTGTCATCTAATGGACTTTCATGGAATAAATCCCAGTTAGTATTTTTTAACATGCACCTTAGATTGAGTAAGTTGTCAGATGAGTAGCATCTTTGTTGTGCTTTCATAGACAGATGTGAGAAGACTTTAATATGTGTTTTGCTGTATATTTTTGGTAAAACACGAACAATAGAGTGATCAGAGTTAAGTATCGGTGCACGTTTACGTGTTTCATATATTCCTTCGTCATTTGTGAAAACTAAATCGAGTGTTTTGTCAAGTCGAGTGGGAAATTTGACTATGTTTGTGTGACCAAGTGCTTCAAGGAAAGAGCAATCTGACGAGTTGAAGTCCCCAGTAATAACAGATAGAGAGTTGTCGAAGTTGGCAGCGGCAAACATGGTGAATTCATCAGCAAAATTTGATAGATCTGATAGTGAGCAACTAGGAGTAATGTACATGTTTGTAAAAAAGATTTGTTTATATTTGGGGAGGTGTTTGGGACGACATTTGACAGTATTACAGTCTATGGAGTCATTTGAGAATGAGAAACAAACATTATTTGAAATAGACCATTTGGAGTGAATAAAAGTTGCAACGCCACCGCTATTTTTCTTATTGCGACAGTGACGGTCTTGTCTGAATAATACGAAGTCCTTTAGTGAGATAAGGTTGTAATCATAAAGTTCATGTAACCACGTTTCTTGTAATGTGATTGTAGCAGTATTGTGATAAGTGTCAGTGGACATCAAGGATTGTGGGTACATTATCTTGTTTGGCAGAGAGCGGCAGTTAGTGTTCATTATGACAGGAACCGTAGTTAAATGTATTGGTCTGCTGATCTTTCCTGGTCGTCTCATATCTTGATGACTTCTAAGAGAATATTCCGTCTTGCCTTCTACATCAAGAAGTTAAGACATTCTGGAATAACCCAACCCTTACTCTTACGATTCGTTAACTCTTGCATCCTGCCATTATTCTCTACTGTTTCCCCTCAGTTCCTCCAGGGCTACTGAGGAAGGACTATATCATATTACGTAGAGTGTTAAAGGTTGTCAGCAGGGTAAGCAATGTGCCACTTAACCAGCTTCTTAATATTCTGGTTGACAGGCACTTGGACTCATGTGAAAAATGGGCTAAATCCATTCTATCTAACTCACACCACCCTCTTCATTCACAACTCTCCCCTTGTATCTCATCAGGCACAACCAGAAGCCTATATAGAAAACTATATGCTGGCACTAGCAAGTACAAAAACTCAACCATACCCTATTTAGCTCGTGTTCTGTGCGATAAAGAAAGCATTGGGCGTGATACCTATAACTTATTAAATAGTCAGTAGAACAACTGGATCTCGTCTTTCCAACTCATATAACTTATAGGTACAACGTTTTCTTCCTTCCTTTTGCTTTTCTCTTTTTTCTCATTCTGCGAAACGAAAATTGAAATAAAACAGTAATCCTTACGGCATCATGAAATTAATAGATATCGTAATTGGCGATTTTTAAGTAGTGTTGACACTAGCAATATGCAGCTTTTTCAGAGGTATCATTGTAATGTCACCGGGTGCGTTTGAGAGGCTGAGGGAAATCAGGCAACCTTATACAATTAAACACTCCCTTGATAGTGAAAATTGTTAGTTGGGTATTTTTTTTCTGTAGGAATCAAGCAATATAATGAAATCTCTCTTCCTTACAATCTCTACTAGAACATTGTTCTTCGTTGTTTCACACTCTGTATATGTCGACTTTTTTGTTACCGCTTACACCAATAAATATGGTGGTATCTTCTAATCTAACACTTTTAAATATTCTGTTCACTTTTTGCTTTGCTACCGATATGCTACCCGTAATCTGTGTAGAATTTTATTTACTGTTAATGTACAAACTGAATGCAATACTGTAGTGGAATGCTGAGAATTCCATTCTCTATCACAAGTACTGTTTTGGAATAAAGCAAATTATTATTATTATTATTATTATTATTATTAATATACTTTCCACTTAACCTTACAATATCTAATCTACCTGCTGTTTTTCTTAACAAGGCTCCAGGTGAAGTATTCACTTTTCCAGACATATTTAAAGATAAACGCCCATCAGATGTTATGGAAACTTTCGATGAGAATGCTTCTACACCTAAGGATGAATCAAAGGATGTTATCCTATCAACTGACAACCAAGTTAAACCAGAAACTGAGAAATTTCAGCGTGTTAAAGGTTATAGCAAGTGGTTTAAATTTTAGTTGTTTATATGCATTTTGACCAATAAAAATTTCCCCACACTTGTGTTGTTTTTTATTTTTTTTATTTCCTTTTATATTTAACTATGTTTATTTTGTGCCTAGTGCAAGCTCTATCTGTCTCCCGTGTCACTTCATATGATAAGCTGAGCAATATTGAGGTTAGGCGTCCAGTGCTGGTAAGAAGGGAAAATCACTCGACGAGGTTGTGAAGCTACATCAATTGGGATGGCTAGGACATGTGATACGCATGTATAGTCATTGCCTTCCTCAATGGGCAATGTTAGCTGACATAGGATGGATCAGGTTGGAAAAGGGCTAGTGATGGTTAGACCAAACCATGGCTTCGTCAGTCAATGAAATCCATGATAGTTAGTTCAAGCCAGCCATGTGGAGAGGTGTACACTGGCGTCCTGGTTGTGTCCTTGCTGTGGTAAAAACCAATGGCTGGAGACAGTTGGTTATATGGCTTCAAAGCATTCTCAACGGTGCAGATGCATTCACTCTTTGTGATTTATGATGTACAGTAAAACCCTATTGTTTTTCCATATTATTATTACTACTATTTACCCTTCACACTGTGGTGAGTGCTACTTATAATCCGATATAAGTAGTATACCAGAAACGAAGTAACAATATGTTTGGCACACTGGAAAGAGCAATCAAAGAAGAGAACCATGAGAAGAATGTTGCCATAGGATGCAGAATCCAAGAAGCTATCGAACGAGACGATATTCGACCAATTCGTCAAGGATGTGGTAAATGATGTGCAAATGGCCGGTTGAGAATATGGTATTCCAAATTTAGCTATGTACCATACGTTTCACCAAATAAACATTCCTTTCAGTCTCCTCAGTCTTGTCTTCTTTACAACACTACTTAAGTTTATTATCTGTCTTTTGTATCCGTTTACTTTCTTCTCTTGCTTTGTTTGGTGCATGGAGAGTGGCAGCTCTGTCTGTTCTCGATGTAGAACTTTGCACCGATGTGCAGCAGAGTTCAAGTCGCCACACTCTATGTAGCACACAAAGCAAGAGAAGAAAGTAGAAATGTAGGAGTGCATCCACTCCTTGTGACAGCAGCTCGAACTGCTGCATATCTGTGCAAAGTGCTATTTTGAAACCAGTCAATTACCAGATGCAAAATCCAATTCACCGAATTCCGCTGTGGGATTGGGTGATAGTGGAACTGGAAATATCAGTTTAGAACAGTGTGTTCAATCACAATTTATTGGTCATAATCAAACTAATGACACAAATTTCAAATTTAGTTTATGTGATTTTCTTTCTTATCCTTTGATTTATTATTATTATTTTTTGGATATCACCATTATCGGTGCTGCGTCATACCTCTGTTAAGTGTTCGGTTTAGATTGGATAAACAAAGATTCAGTGATCAACTTCTCCTGTGATCTAACTATATCACCTTGCTGAACTGCGGTACTGTCCCACCCCATTTTATGATTGTATGTAAGTTTATAAATTACGATAGCCGAGTTTTTCTCTAAGGTAGCTATCCTTTTGGGGTCTGTTATGCTACACCTAACTAAATTCTTATGTCCCAACAACCTAGGTAACCCTGATCTACTGAATTTTCCTATGCAGCTGATCTCACAGTTAATGCAAGGTATCTTATAGAAAGTAAGACACTAAATAGTTGTCTGGTGTTAGCTATCGCCGACACCTTTTCCTTCTCTTTCGCTTTTGTCGCCCACCACTGTTCATGGTCGTTGCGAAGACTTTTTGTCAATTTGCGTTTGAGCAGCTTTCGCTCCTCATCATATTCGGAGCTCGCCGGAATCAGTCTTCTTGTGTCAATCAGTTGGGATAAGGTAGTAGAAATCCACTGGCTCTAACTAACTTTTGGTTTTAGGCTATTAACAGCCTTAACAGCTCTGTCTACAGTTAACTGTATGTTGTGGCAGGCGTCCTCGTGGGTCTTGCTGTCAATCTCAGATACGCGTTTAGCCATATCTTCCTTAAATGGGGACTCATTGTCTTTATCTCTAGTTGAGAGCTGCCAATAGCTTTTTGTCCGTTTAATCGTAAGCATAAACGTGCATGAACCAGGGTGTGATCAGAGTCTACGCAAGTATTCCAGAAGGAGCGGCAGTCTTCTGCTGACCCTTGCGATCGATAGCCTATTGCTATGTGGTCTTTTTGGCCCCAACACTGATTTGGTGATGCAGATGTCTCTAGTTACTTAACGCTTATAAACTCTATCTCAGAGGGGACCATACTTATTTTTGATTTAGGAAACAAACAAGAAGAATAAGATGTGTTAGATGGTTGGAGGCAATCGACAGGAAGTCATGAACCTAAGTCTCGCGCTTTTGAGCACTCATCAGCAGCGCATACCTGCAGCTTTAAAGGATCTCATATCCCCTCTGGCGTTGGGACTTGCGCCACCCATCGTTGTAGCGAGAGACTTTACCATTGAACTATTCAAACTTACAATCGATCTGTCAGACTGTAACTGACTAAACGCATAACATGGTTTACTCCTTGATGATCAATGTATTACAGTTCTATAGGAGGTGAGTTGTGATTTCGAATAGCTCAGTGTTAACGTCTGTCACTGGGTGCAACGGGTTCAAATCTTAGGGGGGACATTAATTCCTCCAAGGTTGCTGACTTCTGTCAACAAGCACAGAACTTACGTCTGTTACTTCCTACCGATCACCTCCAACATAAATTCAGAGTGCACCTCTGTAGCGAGTCACTTAGCTTAGTGTGACCACACTGCAAAGTCGACTGGTAGAATTCAGCCAGCACCAACAGAAACGACTAGACACACACACGACATTAGTTGCTCCCTAGTGAATGTTATCAGTAAGGCAGACTTAGTTAACTTCCTAAGCATCTGAGCAAGAATTTAGGCAGCATATCAGAATCTGTATTATACAACAGTGATCCTATTCGTGTCTGTATGGTTCCATAAGGTCGGTTATGGGAATATTTAGTGCCTTATGATAGTTTATCGCGAGTTGAAAGACTATGGAACTTGTAGAACATTGTTATTCTACCCAATAACTAAATAATAACTTACTCGCTCCGATGCGTGGCACTTTTGTGGGGTGTTTGTGACTAAAGCTGACTCTAACGTGGCTGTAGATAAGCCAGACATATGGTTTCTCGGCTTATCCTAACATAAAACTGAATGTTATTTACAGTTACTCCGCCTACCTGACGACTGAAAACAACGGTAATATGAATCGGTCAAGTTTATTGTCACATCAGTCAGTGAAATTTGGCTTCAGTCTATATAAACTGTTGTGTGTTGAAATTTCATTAGGAGAACGCGAAGTGTACGCCAATTTCTTTTAACTTGATTTCCAATTTAGTCAATAATTGCGTTTGCAAAATGAAATAACTGTCCAACAACTAGTGACTTTTTAAATTTTCTCCAACTGATTTTGGTTTTCTTGACATAAACTAGTTTAAGACTAATCAATCCTTCACAAATCTTCCGAAAAAACAAAAACAATCGCAAGATAGCAACTGCTACCTCTTACTTTGTTACTAATCTTCAGCAGTGTCAATGGATGATCACAGAATTCAAGACAGTGAGGCTTTGCAGCGAATGGATTCTGACTCAGTCCTGAGACGTTGCCATTGAAAGTGGAAGTCATGAAAAGGCTAACTGTTTTTGATCATAGATGTCTGCGTTCTATCACCCATCTTACGTGGCATAACAGGGTGAGTAATATTGCGGTTAGGTGTCGAGTGCTAGGTAATGAGGGGGAATCAATCGATAAGGTTGTGAAGCAGCTGCATCGATTGAGACAGTTAGGGCATGTGATACGCGTGTCTAGTCGTCACTCTCCACAATGGGCAATGTTAGCTGACATAGGATGGATCAGGTTGGAAAAGAGCTAGTGGTGGTTGTGGTCAAACGAATACATGGCTTCGTCAGTCAATGAAATCCATTACAGTTGGTTAGTTTGAACTAGCCACATCGAGAGGTGTAGACTAGCTTCCTGGTTGGCGTCCTCGGGATGATAAAAACCAATGAAGGCTGGAGGCAATTGGTGATATGGCTGAAGATCGTTTTGAATGGCTGGGGCAGATGCATTCACTCTTTGTGATTTGTCATATCCAGTAAAGCTGTATTGTTTTTCCATGTTTCTATTCCTATTCCCTTACATTTCGGCATATTACCATCCTTTTGAATCTTTGTTTCTGTCACTTGTCTTCCTCTATGCAAGGTTCTATGTTGAAACCAGTTAGTCAGTCAAGTTATAATCTAGTAGTCTGTAATTTTTCAACTTCTTCCACTTTGGCAGGTGTTTATTTGAACTCTGGTATGCGGAACATATTTCTCGTATATCAGAATTGGACCCACATTTATTGTATATATGATACCGATAAATTGACCAAGCTGTGGGGCAGGTGAGACGGGACTCAAACCTGGAAGCGATTGGATGTAAACCATCTCCTTCGAAACCGACGTGTTCGACTCGTACATTAATTTAGACGTGATCATCATGCTCTAGATAAACTGTTTCATATTTAAAAATGATTTTGAATATATATATATATATACATATATATATATATATGTATTGTTCCCTTGGGTTCCTAGTGGAACATAGCGCTTCAACTACACGTCTCCACTTGCTTCTGTCTTCTGCTGTACTTTTCACCTGCATCCATGTTAGTCCATACTGTTTCAACTCCTCTTCACACGATCTCCTCCATGTCACCCTTGCACGTCCCACTCGCCGCTTCCCTTTCGGGTTCCACTCGAGCGTTGGCCTGACGCGCGATGTCACCCAGCGGCCTCCTCAGCGAGTGTCCAATTCATCTCCACTTTCTCCTGCATATTTGTTGAGCGATTGGTTCTTGTTTTGTTTGTTCCCATAGTTTCTTGTTGGTGATTCTTTCCGACCATCTGATCTTCAGTATAGAGCGAAGACAGCTGTTGATAAAGGTCTGCAACAGGCTGTTGGAGATATTCTTTGTGACCCGCCAAGTTTCTGATCCGTATAGAAGAACTGACTGACTTGACGTTTGTATTGAAAATCCGAATTTTGTTGTTGATGCTGAGTGACGAAGATTTCCAGATTGGTTTCAGGTTGATGAATGTGTTTCTCGCCTTCTCGATTCTCGATTTGACATCCTCGTCCGTCCGTTTCTCCTGTAGTTGAGACAATGCTCCCTAGATAAGTGAATGAAGTGACCTCTTTCAAATCCCTCCCGTTGATGGTGATTGGTGCTGGATGTTGTTGTTGTTGTTGTTGGTTGGTTATTTTCATAACCTCCGTCTTGTCTATGTTCACCTGGAATCCTGTCTTTGCTGCTTCTTCGACCAGTTTGTCGGTT